ATAGCAACAGTACAATCGTAGAAGTCGTGTGCCCCTTCGCAGGGGGTTGGGGGAGGTGAGAGTTACTTCGCGTGGAAAGTTTAACGTTTCTAAACAGAAGGAGATGTAAAATAGTACTTGTTATAATACATATGTGGCAGAAATTATACGTTAATATGTATAATTTCCGAGAAATGGTATGTTAATTTTGAAACTTTTTTTGTTAATAACTTTTTAACGGACAGTGACCGCCACCTAAAACCTGCGGGAGGTTACTCAGGGTCATGACCTTGACAACATATGCCAAGGTCAAGATTATCGGGGGGGGGGGCTCGCCTAATCTATATATTTACCGGGAGGAGGGAGAAGAAGAGGAGGGAGGATGTGCAATGTATCGAAGTTAGTATAAATTGTATATTTACATAGATATTTTAATATCAGTTACTTTCGTGATAATATATTATGTTAAAGTACAGATGTATCAAAAATATATATAAAAAATGATTTAAAGAATTATTTAAAAATATATTATACATATATGAAGGAGAGTGACAATGATGAGTAGTGAAGCGAGTCGGAGAGAAAGAAGGGTAGAATTTAACTTGGCGTACAAATGATACGTGTCATAAGTTTAAGAAAATAATAAGGTAAAAAAGACAACAGTTCCCCTTCTCTTCTTCTTCAGTAATACCAAACAGTTCCGAACTTACGTCTGATTTAACTAACAACAAGTCTAACTGGAACATGTACTTGAATACCTCATTATGTATGCCAAGATTTTTTATATATATGTTAATTTCCATTTCATTATCTGTCAATAACAAAATGTATTACGTTAAAATAGACAATTTGATATAAGAATTCTATTAAAATTAATACTGATCTTTTGTGATTCAATTTTGTAATATAAAAAACTGTTATTTGGATCTCTCTCACCTAGAACACTATATTTGATTCAAGATTGTGGAGCACACAAGAATTCTTTTGAAATTAATACTCATCTTTTATGATTCATTTTTGAAATACAAGAAGCTGTTATTTCGATCTCTCACCTAGAAATTTGATTCAAGATTTTGAAGCACATGTGTGTGAGTTACAGTTTCCAATCACGTGTATCTTCATAAGTATACATTTTCAAAATATTATTCTAATTAATAATTAATATTGTGAGGAACGATTGTTCTGTTAATCAATTTCTTAACAACATTATACCAAAACATTACGTTTACTAGTGTATGTAATTATCAGAACAATTACGATATTAATTATTAATTAATATCGTGTTGACTTACACTCTAAAATCTTGAATCAAATATAGTGTTCTAGGTGAGAGATCAAACTATAATAGTTTTTTATATTATTATTGAAAGATAATGAAATGGAAATGAATACGTATATAAAAAACACTATTATACATATTACCATGAAAAATGACTCAAATATATTATTGAAGGGGCCAGGTTCATCAAAGTAAACATACACCAACAGTTGCCAACTTTACGTCTGACTTGAATACCTCATTATGTATGCTAAGGTTTTTTATCATTTTATTATCTCCCAATAATAAAGATGTATTACGCTAAAGTAGACAATATGGTAAAACAACTTTATAAGAATTCTTTTAAAATTAATATTGACCTTTTGTGATTCATTTTTAAAATATAAAGAACTGTTATTTTGATCACATAGAACACTATATTTGATTCAAGATTTTCGAGTACATAAGAATTCTTTTAAAATTAATACTGATCTTATGTGATTCATTTTTTAAATCTAAAAAACTGTTATTTCTATCTCTCACCCAGAACACTATATTTGATTCAAGAGTTTGGAGCACATGTGTGTGAGATAACCAGTTCTCAACCACGTGTATCTTCATAAGTATACATTTACAAATTATTATTATAATTAGTAACTAATATTGTGAGGATACATTATTACCATGAAAAATGACACATATACTATTGAAGGTGCCAGTTCAAAGTAAACATACATAAAATGTATATTCTTTTGTTGCATATATACGAAATAATAATGATGTAACATTAATATTATAAACATCTAGTGTGCATGTGCTGTTAAATCATTATTACGTACTTATACGACAAAAGGATATACATTTTATGAGTGTTCACTTTGTACAGTTCGCGCAATTAATGCCTTCCAACCCTATGACGTCACATTCACTCTTGAAGCATCGCGTTTACTTTCTCGGTCGTTTTCATATTCATGGCTATAGTAGACAAATCGTAATCAGCCGGCGAAATTGCGCGAATTTCTTCAACCTCTATAGCCCGTGTTCGTGACATCTCGAATGTGTGTGATTAAAGTTTTATTGACACTGTTGACAGTCGTAAATTTCGTTTGAAAATATATTTACATAACCAAATTTTCAATTATTTACGACACATAATTTATCAGATAAGTTGCTATTCTTCCTTTCTGTATTTATTTAAAACTCTATAAAAAATTATGGAAAAAAATCTTTGTGCATTTTTAATGTAAACAAATTTTTAATTATTTACGGCTCATAATTTTATCAGATCAGTTTATTACAATATTTATCATTTGCATTTTGTCTTTTTATATTTATTTAAATTTCTATATAAGATTAAGGAAAAATATCTTTGTGCATTTTTCTTCTTTTACAAATGGAAACGAACAAGAAGAAATTTTCAACAAGAATAATTTGAGTCTTTTAAGATTTTGGCTGAAGAAGACAAGGTATCCTTTACATATGATAGAATTCAAACAATAT